AGAGAGAGAGAGAGAGAGAGAGAGAGTCTGGCATTAATAATATCTACGACAATTAAATAGATAAATGAGTAAGGGGAGGTGAGGGAGGAGGGAGGGAGGGAGGTGAGGTGAGGGAGGGAGGGAGGGAGGGAGGGAGGGAGGGACAGGTACTATGACTTACCAGCTATAGCAGCGAGCGTTACCATGACAACGAGGTTCTAGTGACGTCATCACCATCTGTAGCACCAGGAGGCCAAGCATGGTAACCTCTTTATGGTGAACTGTGACCCTGTGACCTGTGGCCCTGTGACTTCTTTATGGTGACCTGTGACCCCAATGACCTGTGACTTCTTTATGGTGAACTGTGACCCCAATGACCTGTGACTTCTTTATGGTGACCTGTGACCCCAATGACCTGTGACCTCTTTATGGTGACCTGTGACCCTGTGACTTCTTTATGGTAACCTGTGACCCCATGACCTGTGACCTCTTTATGGTGACCTCATGACCTTATTCAACCCTTAAATTCCTCCCCTCTGTTTCCCCTAATGTATCACGTTGACCTTTCGTCGTTTGACCTCTGACCTTTTTATAGCCACCTTATTGGAATAGGTTAGGTTAGGTTACATTCCTTGTCCTAACCTAACCTAACCAACTCAACAAGTGTATTTCTATATATTGTATGACCTGTTAGTGACCTTGTTTGACCTTCCAATGACCCAACCTGACCATACCTCATCCCACACCACCCTCCAATCTCCCCATCAGGCCCCACATCATCCTCCAATCACCCCATCTGACCCCACCTGACCCCACATCACCCTCCAATCACCCTACCTGACCCCACCTGACCCCACATCACCCTACCTGACCCCCTCTTACCTTGTTAGTCATCTTCCGCCTCTTCTCACACACAGCCTTGTAGGTCCGGATTATCCTGACGTTGAGGTAGACAAGTATGAGCGCCGGGACCAGCTTGAACGCGAGCTCCAGCAGCCACTTGTACGCCTGGAAGTATATCGAGTCCACCAGCCAGCCATTCACCTCCTTCGTATGGACCACTGAATCTGTAGGGGTGACGGAGGCGATGTAGAAGGTGGTGGTTGTGAGTGGTGAGTGGTGAGTGGTGAGTGGTGGTGGTGAGTGGTGAGGTTGGTGATGGATGATGGTGGTGATGGTGATGGTGGTGATGGTGGTAGTAGTAGTGGTGATGGTGGTGGTGGTGGTGATGGTGGTGGTAATGGTGGTAGTAGAAAGGGAAAAGGATGGTGATGGTGGTGATGGTGATGGTGGTGAATGGTTGAAGGTGGTAGCGACTCAAGCACTGTAGAAGGGAGTGATGATGATGATGATGATGATGATGATTGATGATGAAAGAGACACCTGACTACACACTCTATAACGCCATTGATCATCAAAGACACAACTAAAATGATCCTCTGTGACCATCGACAGGTATGTGGCGAGACGAGGGAAGTGAATTTCAAAGGGATTTAGACACTTTGAGAAGGAGAGAGAGAGAGAGAGAGAGATAAGAAGGAGACAGTAAAAGGTAGACAGACAGACAGACAGACAGACAGACAAACAGGCAGACAGACAGACAGACAGACAGACAGACAGACAGACAGACAGACAGACAGACAAAAGGGTGACAGACAGACAGACAGACAACAGACAAACAGGCAGACAGACAGACAGACAGACAGACAGGAGAGACAGTGCACAGACAGACAGGCAGACAGACAGACAGACAGACAGACAGACAGACAGACAGACAGACAGACACATCATAACACACACGCCATTACAGTCTTCTTCACACCTTTCCTCTTCTTATTAATCCTCTCTCTCCCTCCTCCCTATTCTCATAACTGTTTTGTCTATTTGTCTCTCTTCTCGACTTTCTTATCACTTTCACTCCCTCTATTCTACCCTTCTCTTTGCGTCTCACTTCTCCTTCTTTCTAATTTCTCTCCATTTCGTGTTCTCTCTCTCTCTCTCTCTCTCTTCCCTTTCATCCATCACGAGAATATTGGTCACTTCCCCTTTTCCATCTTCCCCTTTTTCTACCTCTTCCTCTTTCCTCACTCTTCCTCTTCCTCCTCTTTCCTTCCTCTTCCTCCTCTTTCCTTCCTCTTCCTCCCCCTTCCTCTTCTCCTTTCATTACTGTAATCCCTCAGTCTCTCTTGCCAACTAACCCCTGTTCAAGAAGAATATGGTGGTGATGGTGGTGATGGTGGTGATGGTGGTGATGATGGTGGTGATGGTGGTGGTGATGGTGGTGGTGGTGGTGTGGTAGTGGTGAGTGATGTTGGTGGTGGTGGTGGTGATGGTGGTAGTGATGGTGGTAGTGATGGTGATGGTGGTGGTGATGGTGGTGGGGTGAGATTAACAGTGACATGACTCCTTTCTGTCAAACCCCTTCCCCCTTTGCACTCCTGTATCCCTACAGGTGACATGGGCTAGGAACAGGTAGGGGCTATAGAGGAAAAGGTGGTGATAGGGATGACTGAGACGGTCACATAGGCTCTAGTAGTGCCACATAGGTTCCTCGCCTGGGCCGGGTAACACACTGAGATGAAGCGTTCCACCGTCAGAGCCAGCAGCATCACCACGCCGATACCTGAAGGAGGGAGAAGGTCAGATACGTAGTCAGATAATAGCATAAGTGAGATGACAGAGAGAGAGATAGTGTTTTTAAGTAATTTCATATCTATGTATTTTTTTAGGAATAAATATTTGATCTTAATTATTCCGTCGATATTTTCACCCATGGCGTCCCGTGTTCGTGTCCTATGTTGAACTATAAATGCCTGAATCCTGTCTATGTTAACATGTACCAGTAAGGACGGAACATCACACGACGGGGAGTTTATTGCCGTAAATGTTATCTTGATTCTCTTTTGTTTTCACTTTTTATAGTTTTGACTTTACTGGTTTTAGTGTTTATAGTTCGAGCAAATCCTCTTATTGTTTTTTTTCCTCGCTCGATTGGTTCAGTACACACACACACACACACACAGACCGCACGCAATTCAGTTATCTGTGCTTATGGATGCTACAGACTGTCAACAAGCGTTCATCTGTCAACAAGGACTATTTAACAGGACGGGTAAGTGTTCAAAATGTGACCGAGAACAAACAGACAGTGAACAAGAAATATGAACCTCCTCCGCCATTAACCTTAAATTTATATAGTTTTCATAAACATTATATATTTTAGAGGTTAATCTATATTCTAAGACCTGGGTATTTTCTATTATTTTTTTTATAACATGCTTCAATGTTGTTCCATATTATTCCTGTAATGATGTGTTATATTTACTATTATATAATCTAGTCACCTTACCCTGTGCTGTTAAGGTTTTAACTGTCATTATTTATTCAAGCCCATCTTATTTCTTCATTTAGTACTGTAACAAGCATTCTTTGTTTCTCTAACGATCATCTGCATCGTTAAACGACCCATGTTCACTGGCTTGTTCAGTGGAGGAGAGGACCTTAAATATAGTACCCACCAGTAGACGGAGTTCAGTCCAGTCTTCTTGTCATTCAGTCCACGTTCTTTTTAGTGACATCCGTCACCTGTTACATATACTTTATTTTATTTCTGTGTTGTTCCTGTCGCCACCAATGTGGTATATCTATGTGAGTACCTATTTATGTCTCTTATGTGTCCATCAGTGCTTGCTTAGTTACATTTAAGTAATTCAGTGTTGTTTCACGATAGTTAATTTCAGTGTTAGTTATTTTATATGTTTATGCAGTGTTAACGTAATCCAGTGCTTTATTTTTATCCTATATATTTAAGCAGTTCTTTTGATGTTTCGATGTTTTAGTATCATTTGTGTCTTAAAAGTTTCGATAGTGAATCAATTTGTTGTGACAGCCTACGAGGCTCTTTACTGTGTTAGTATGTAATTTAATCAAATTCTTAAAGGTTTACTTTATTTATTTTATTCCCTTTTGATTTAATTCACTTTTTTTGTTTGGTTACGACTAGAACCTGGATATTAAAGTAAATTAGAGGCAGAACAATGTATATAGACATCGATGATTTATATATTAGTATTTATTGTAGAGTATTAAGTATGTATGTATGTATGTATGTATTATGTATGTATGTATTTATGTATGTATGTATGTATGTATGTATGTATGTATGTATGTATGTATGTATGTACGTATGTATGTACGTATTTATGTATGTATGTATGTATGTATGTATGTCCCTACCTCCTTATCTATCTATCCATCTACCTATCTATCTATCGAATCACCTCCATAAATAACAGCCAATTAACATCGTTCATCTACGTCAGACGACCAAGACACTCCCCTGCTTGAGAGTTTGGCCATTAATATTCCTCCTGCGTCAAATTCTGTGTTCTCATTGGCCAGGATACTATGTCGTAAATTTTCCTGTGACTGCCGAGACATAAGGGGATACCAACCCATGTCTCTGATGCATTTAGTTAAGGAAGATAATTTAGTGGGGCTTAAGAGTCCTAACCTAACCTAACCTAACCTAACCTAACCTAAACTAAACCAACCCAACCTAAACTAACGTAACCTAACCTAACCTAACCTAACCTAACCTAACCTAACCTAACCTAACCTAACCTAAACTAACGTAACGCAACGTAACCTAACCTAACCTAACCTAACCTAACCTAACCTAACCTAACCTAACCTAACCTAACCTAAATATACACATCAAGTGTCTGTCTGCACCGTTTTGCAACAGGAGAAGATAAACAAGTTAACTGCAACGTTGCAGAGTGAGTGGCAACAGGGAGACGATAAATTGCAGGAAATTGCAAATCAAGTTGACTTTATTGGGTTTCATTCAATAAATTGTTTATATTATCCTATTAGTGTTGACAGAGTAAGGGTGATGTATTGGTTGACTGATGCCGGACAAATAGCGTTGGTGTTCTAGTAATAATAGTAGTAGTATTAGTATTATTATTATTATTATTATTATTATTATTAGTAGTAGTAGTAGTAGTAGTAGTAGT